TTTAGGAGATGGTTGTGCCTTTCTATGTGGATGTGTAGTAGGATGCATTGTTGTTGAACTTAAAATCTCCACAATTCTTTTGGGACTTCTGTGGTTAATTTGACGGAGAGAATTACCGTTTTGATGTGTTTTATTAGTTATATTATAGTATTTAAATGTATGTGTTTACGCTAATCTGTTAGGAATATGATGTTTATGTACGTGGCTTATTTTCCTTGTTTATTATGTATGTGTTTCAATTCAGTATGTAAGAACTACTCTGTATGTGGTTGGGTGACGGTGGATAGGGATTGGTGGATTTCCGGGTGGCTCTGAAAGATACACTAGTTCTGTATGTAGTTGGGTGACGGTGGATAGGGATTGTTGGATTGCTTGGTGGCACTGAAAATGTGGTAAATTAGGTCAGTTCGGTAGCCTTTGGATGGCAACATATAAATCCGTATGGAGTTGACAACGAACGCGTGAGTATGTGATTAGGTGGAAGAACCTGTAATCCGAAACGAATTACAAAGTAAATTGGTGTGAAATTTTTTTTGTTTCAAGTTAAAGGTTGGAGTACAAAGTAGTATTAAGATAATATAGATTAAATTAAAAAAAAAACAAGGAGAACTATAGAAGGGACATGCAATTTTGGTTGAGGTCAGGTGAATATGCAGATTTTGCGCCATTCGTGGAAGTAGACGAAGTCAATACAGTGGAAACCATCCGGTTCACCACCAATGTTGTGAATTTGCAGCACTGAGGGAAATATGGCTGAGTCCATTAGGTCCGTAAGTATCTGCTCTTCTTGGGCTGATAGCCTTGATTTGGTACACCATCCGAGATGCCATCCATTCAACATCAGAGATACATTTGACCTTCATCCTAAAGGGAACAAAATCATCCAAACAATTCCAACCCAAACACCAGCAAAGCATAATGTACATCAACTTGGCGTATGGGTACATGTTTTTGATTTGATTTATAATGTTTATCGTGGCGAAGATATCCCCATTATGGAAAGCGAGTCATAGGAACTGAATATACAACGCGTATGGATTCCTCGCCAGCAAGCACTTTTGGAAGAGGCCGTAGTACCAAGCGATCTCGTCTCCCCACCATGGATAGTGGTAATGGTTTTCCATATCAAGTTTTGAAAGTGAAAGTTCAAATAAGGCTGCATCTTTCAACTGGGGGCCGCTATAACCCATGTTTTAAGGTCATCGACACCATAAGCTGCAAAGAAGCTTGCAATTTTTGCAAGCACATTTTGAGGAAATGGTTTTGAAACTAAGGCGGAGGGATTCATTTAGTGAGGAGAAGGTTGAAAGGAAGATCTGGTTGTAAAAAAAACGATAGAGCTTTACTCTGTTTTGATTTTTAAGGATTTGAGATTTGGAATGATAACCACATGTGGAGTGGATAAAGAGCATCATTAACAATGATACAATGTGGGTATCATTAAATATAAAATTATTAAAATTTGAGTAAAAAGAAGAAAGAAAATGTTTTTGGTTGAAATAATGTGGTGTATTGAAATATAAAATTAATAAAATTTGAGTAAAGAGAGAGATAGTGGGTATTTTTAGAGAGAATGTATCAAATAGTTGATACTTTTGAAGAGAGAAAGAGTGTGTTTTTAATATTTTATATTTAAAGAG